CATTTATTAATTTAAGTATTTACTATTCTGAAATTAAGCACCCTTTTTTTGCTGCTGATAAACTTTGTGATGTGATGTTATATAAATGAAAGGAGCGGTAGTGCTTAATTTCGGGGCGCTTAATTTCGGAACGGCTGTAGTAAATTAGGTTATTCAAGTTCATGAAATATTTACTATTTAATTTAATCTCGTTCACTTAATTTAGTAAGTAAGTATAAAGTAATTTATAGCTATTTAAGTTTGCGCATATTTCCTATTCTAATTTTATTCTTAGTCTGTAAGTATAAAGAGTTTTTGAATCTTAGTATAGAAGTATTTAAAATAACTGTACAACTTCATGAATATTTACTATTTCATTTCATTTAAGTCTGTGAGTATAAAAACATTTGTTAATTTAAGTATTTAAAATAAGCTACTCATATTTACTATTAATTTTGTTTTAGATCGTGAGTATAAAGAACATTTATTAATCTAAGTATTAAAATAAGTTATTCAATTTCATGAATATTGAATTTCATTTATCCACATTAATATAGTTCGTAAGTATAAAGAATATTACAAATCTAAATATTTAAAATAAGCCATTCAAAGTTAAATAAAATATTTAATTCTAGCTAGTGAGTATAAAGAATATATCTATTAATCTGGTATCTTAAGTAAGTCATTCAAGTTTATATATATATTTATTATTTAATTATTTATTCTCTTTAATTCAGTCAGTGAGTATAAATAAAGGTTATTTATAGGCTTGGTCAACATAAACATGGTTCTATTATGCTATGACAAAGAATCGACAACCGGACTTATATAAAATCTTAGATCACTCTAGACTTTTAAAGATGTTTTATTATGTAAATTGATATATGCTTTTATAAAGAACACTTATTTTATATGACTTTTGCAAAAAGTCATAAGCCATGTTTTTGTTAACCGACTCTCATTCATTAATCTAAGTATTCAAAATAAATACTCATGAATATTTAATATTTTAATCGCGTTAATTTAGTTCGTGAGTATAAAGAACATTCATTAATATAAGTATTTAAATAAGTTATCCAAGTTTCTAAATACAGTATATATTTACCATTTAATTTTGGTTTATTCATGTTAATTTAGTAAGTGAGTATAAAGAATACTTATTAATTTTATTAATCTAAGTATTTAAAATAAAATATTTATTATTTGACTTTTATCTTATTCATGTCAATTAGTCGGTAAGTATAAAAATTATTTGCATTTAAGGGTCGTAAAAATAATATTAAATAACTTAATATGAAAATATAACGATTGTTAATTATGAAGAAGTTCCAATTATGGAAAATGCGCGTATTGTAATGAAGATAACACGAATGAGGCGTGGTGTCAGACATGTGATCCTGAAATAGTAATTCAAGAATGGACGAGCGGAAATAAGGATATTGACGATTGCATAAAAGGGTTTCAACTTAGAACTAATGTATATGAAAAAATGATTGAATGGATTCCATTTGATAGACTGCGTAATATTAAAAAAATTGGTGAAGGAGGATTCAGCACTGTATTTTCTGCAACTTGGTTGGATGGTATACGAAAAATTGAAAAAATTAAGAAAACTGATTATGATGATTATAAGAACTATTTACATGTGAGAATACGTGAACCATCTAGCATTGTTGCACTCAAGACCTTGTCAGGTTCTAAGGAAAATCCACTAGATTTTTTGAGAGAGGTAAGTTAAATAATTATTTATTATACAATTTATTATTAAACATATATTTAACTAAGTTACTTGTATAATACAAATTTGTGAAGTTTAACAATCATATGAAATGTATAAGGTTCGGTAGTAATTTTAAGGTATATGGATTGACTCGAAACACAGAAACAAATGAGTACTTGATGGCATTTCAATATGCTGATAATGGAAATCTTCATAGGTTTTTAAGAACAAAATTTCAGAATCTCACCTGGCAGACTAAATTGAAACTACTTCTAGATATTTCATCCGATTTAAATATAATTCATAATGCAGAATATATTCATGCAGACTTTCACAGTGGCAATATTTTACAAAATGAAGGCGTTAACAAAAGTATGCGATCTTACATTTCAGACCTGGGTTTGTCTAAAAAGAAAGATGAAAATGATTCAGAAGGCTATATTTATGGAGTTATTCCCTACGTTGCACCAGAGGTTTTATCTGGTCGAAAGTTTACACCAGCTGCTGATATTTATGGCTTTGGGGTCGTTATGTCAGAGATGTCAACTGGACAAAGACCTTTTGATGGTTATCAATTCGATACCAAACTTGCAATAAAGATTTGCATTGGGCTGAGACCTGAATTTGCACCTGGAACTCCAGATTGCTATATTGAATTGGCGATGCAATGCATGGATTCAGATCCACAAAAACGGCCTACTGCTCGTGATGTTTGTAAACAACTTAGCAAATGGAATAAAATCATGAAAGATTCATATTTTCCTAACATTAACGATAATTATGATGAAGATGATATTAAAAAAATTAAAAAGCATTTCTTAGACGCTGATAAGATAGTTAAAATGGTGTCAACTATCTCACCAAAACATCCTGATTCTATGTATACTAGTAAAATTATTAATACACGAAGAATATCAAGTGCAGTTAAAGGTTATTATTGTATTTTATACTTTACAAAACTAAATTATACGTTCTAAATAAGTAAAATCCATTTTAAAATTTGTGTAAACTATAATTCTTTAGAAAGTAAGCCTATTGATTCTATTGAAGCTCCTGTTGGTAGGTACTATATTAAACATTTATTATTAATAAATATATTACTTATTTTATATTGGCATTTAGATTATTGAACTAATCGCTTTAAAGGTACTGATTTATTGTTGATAATTATTGTAGCGGCTGAATTCAGAGACTACTGAAGTTGGAAATTGGGCTTGGGTCTATTTTTTTTAGAGGTTATAATTAAAAAGTATAAATTCATATTTTTAAATAGAGTCTCCCATTTCCAACTTCAGCCGTTCCCAGCATCAGTTGCGACAATTATTATTTATATAATGGCTTTTTTCAATTTGAATTGCGAGTTATAATTTAATATATTTTTTATTTACAGTCATACCTGAGTTATATCCTCACTAGGTTATATCCCAATCTGAGTTATATTCCTATTTTTAGCAGAATAAATTTTCTTTGATTTATATCTCATTTTATATCTCTATCTTCAGTAATAGCTACAACCAAAAGTATATAAATAATATTTAAAATACCTTAGATTTATCCCGATATTGTTATACAATTTATTTTTGGTTAATAAATTATATAAAATTAAATTATTAATAATAGAGTCTTCCTTTATATAGTCATCTCTTATATAATCACATACAGTATATGTAATCATATTTTTGTTAAGGCCAAACTATGATTTAATTTATAAGAAAAAGGCCTCCATATAACGATAAGCACATTTTTTAAATAAAATTATTATGTGCCAACTGTGTGGCTGTATGAGAGGATGGCTGTAATAATAAATAAATATTTTTAAAAATATTAATAAATTTGATTCAGTGATTCACTGAATCAAAGTTATTAATTTTTAAATATATCGATGGTCACGTGACCAAGGCGTGATATCCAGGGACAGGGAATAATATCGATCGAATAATAAAAAATAACAAATTAAATCTGATTTACATTGATTTATCGATTTTTATACGTATTGACATACCTTCTTATCAACCAATCAGAGTCCAAGAACAAGGTAACGTAATTTGATAAAGGATTTGATTTGCCAGTTTAATCTGACATACCAATCAAATTCTTGTTGAGTCTGTTGAAGGAGATGCTTGAAAATTGGTTCGAGTAAAGTGCAAATTGCCCTATCGGTTCAATCGATGAATCTTGTTCGTGTATTCTTACAACTCACTCTCTTTATAGTGAACACTCGTTATAGTGAATTCTCGTTATAGTGAAGATTCGACACAGTGAAGAATTTTGAATTCCGGAATTATTAAAATCCAACTCGATATAGTGAAGTATATATGGGGTCTTTGCCTTGAAAATCGAGTTATGGAACATAGTAAATCATATGTCCCATACTTGATTTTCAAGGCAAAGACCCCATATACAATTCGAATGTAGTGTAAAAAATCGATGTGCGGATGTGCGGATCACACATTTTAATATGAAGAAGCATGAGTGCGCGCACATACTTTTCAAACTGAATTTTTTACTTAATGGCACTAAAATCATGTGGTTTTGATCGACGGTTCACAGTACACCGAATTAAGCATTGCGTCGAATTAGGCATATCGATATTTAATATTGCAAAATCAGAACCTATTGCTATTGTAATAAATATCGATTTTTTACTATGCACTAAAAAATTTATTCCGTCTCAAGCACTTAATCTAAGATCTTTACGGAAATTTTATTGGAAGAATCACCTATACTATACTTGATCCTTGGATTCTTTTTAGTCGATATAACCAGAGCCCAGTGAAATTCGGTATAAAAGAGGCAATGCGTATACACATAATCCGGTGCATAATACAAACTATAATAAGGCCATGCGTATAACAATTTACCCTTCATAGAGCGACTGTATACGGTCTACGGTCAACTCTCTCATAAGAGCAATTCGCTGGAGACCACATATAAAAACAAAGGTAAAATACATACAACTTTATTGCTTAGAACCAGAAGTTTTACAGTTATAGAAATTTCATTAAGATTTTCACTTAGAGATGTCACTTAACTTAGAAACATTGCTAATTTATTATGATGATCAAAATCATAAGAGATATGCGTGTAAATCATATATTAAAGCCATTTACAACATGAGGTTGGCAATGAAACACAGCAGGGCGGTAAAATTTTCATATATTAGTGTATAATTTTTTTTTAAATAATCTAAAAAGAAAGAAAGAAAAAATTTAATTTAAATCTTAAGAAAAGGTGGTCCAGGATTAATAAGAAACAAAAAAATTAACTTTCTTGCCCTAGATAGTTATACACATAAATAAATATGAAAAAAAGCGACCTTAGAAAGCGTTATTGGCTCTTCATACTTTTTATGTCTATTATACCTCTTTCTGGAGTTCCGTATGGAATAATATATGATAATGAGCGTGTATATCGAGTTAGTTTGATTGGAGTCACATTAGTGTTTGCCCTAGGACTGACTGTTGCATTATGGTTCCATTTCTGTAAATGTTTGTTGCCAGTAGTTTTGCATATTTTAAGGTACTTGAATTTCATGTTTGTGATATTAAAAGGTTTGAATTAAATTATATAAAAAAATTGAATTTTAATTCTATAAATTGACATTCATTCAGTGGAACTTCAAAAGGATTGGAACCGATTTCAAAGTTTTTAATAGAGACAAGATTTATAGGCCCTTTCATCGCCTTATGTATTCGTACTATTTTCTTTTTTTGGTTCATTATTTTGTTAATAAGTGATGTATTCGTGCGAGCAGTTCTCAGTAGATTTGCTGGATTACACCAAGGAACTAGCCATCATTTTAGCCCCGTCGGTACAACTAATACAAACTTTCAACCAATGGGTTTATTTGAGAATATTGAAGATAATACAACACGATTGAATGGATTGCAATATAGTCAAAAAATAGCGTTATCTCTTGCTAATGCTGCAAAAGTAGCATATGAGGATGTTCCTATTATTGCACATGAGTTAAAAGATGCTGGCTACAACATGCAAACTTTCAAACCAGTCGCCTATAAGGTTAATGAATAATAATCAATTGTATCAATTTATATTGATTTATATTGTCATGATAAATATCTAACCGATGTCTGTTATAACAGAATATATGCGGTTATATTTGCGAGAAAGATAATAATATAATCCTAGTCTTCCGAGGATCAAATCCATTGAATATTCAAAATTTTTTAACCGACATTCGGTCTTACCTTCGCAAAATTGAATCTTCGATAAAAGGAGATATGGGATTAGTTCACGAAGGATTTTATGAAGCCATAGGTGAACCCACGGATATCGATAATGAATTGCCTTACTCTAAATCACAAACTACCATTGAATTACATAACACTTCATTATTGAAAATTATTGAAACCACCTTTGAGGCAGTGAAGACGCTTATAACATTTTTATTTGAGAGCATAATCACTCACGTATATGATCCAATAGATTACAGATTTTTAGGCAAAGATGAAAGATATTCTAGCGCATATAGTCAAGCTACTCGGCGAATAACTGATCTTTGTCAGGACGACAACAAAAATGATGACTTAGTTCAACGAAAGTTGACGCAAGAAACTTGTAAAAAAAGATTATTTATCACCGGTCACAGCCTGGGCGGTGGTTTGGCCATAGGTATTTACTTTTTCGAGTTAATTACTTGATTAACTAATGTAGTATTTTAACCATATATATGTGTATATAAATATATATACGTTTATTTAGCTTTCTTGGCCAAACTGATACAACATGATAGCCCGCTTCTTAACATTTTAGCTGGAGTTTACACGTAAATAATGAAATTTTTTTTATAAAGATATATGCATAATTACATATTTAAACTATTTTTACTATATCTAGGTATGGCCAACCTAAAGTTGGCGATATCGAATTTGTAAAATCATTTGGACCAGAAATTAGCAAAAAAATGTTTCACCATGTGTATAATAATGGTAATTTTTTTACATATCAAATATGGTTTATCTATCATTATTTAAAACAACACTTATTAACATTTTATTCGCTTTATTACATCTTATAGACGTAATTTGTAGGGTGCCTCCATGGGATCCATATGTTGATCCTCCAGGAAATTTGGTTTTTATAGATTCCTCATATTCAATATGTATATACCCACCAAATCCTGTTACCAACATATCAATTCCAGCTCGTGGTATTTCATTCATTCAACTATCTGGAATATTGAACCTTAATGTCATAAGAAGAATGATAAATGAAAGTTGGTTAATGATTACGATTAGGTTTATGTAAGATTACAAATTAATTTCATTTATACACAACTTAACTACAGTCTTTTTTTTTTACTAAAAACTTTTTTATTAAAATTTTTTTACATATAGATTTCCATTTTACATAAATGATCATTTTCCAGGAGAGTATACAAATGCCATTCGTGATGGAAAAATAGAAAGAATCATTTTCTTGGAACTGATGGACCAGAAATTATAAATTATACATAATACTTTAGAAACATTTTCACTTATTATATATATTGTAATTCATATTTATTATTATAGTGTAATTAATAATAATAATAATAACCCAAATTTTAAACGAACATTTACGCCAAAAATTAACTAACGAGAACATGAATTATTTCTATACTTATTTTTCTAAGAAATGAAGTATTCAAATAAACATTAGATTTATAAATTGGATATACAGTATTGTATATACTGTAGAAATGTTATTAAAGCATGCTATTAAAACTTGATGAAAATCTATAGTTTTGATTTTTCAATAATGAAATTGGTGAAAATGTAAAGTTACGTAATCAAAGTTTTAATTTTGATGTATTTTTAAATATCATGATATATACAATATTGTTGGCTATCATTATATTTCATTTTTTTGGAATTAGAGTATAAATCAAACAGTTAATCAAATTATCGATATATCGTAACGTTACAATCCAAAGTTTCTTCAATATTGATATAATTATGCTTGTAAAATTTTTTTACTATTTGTTCTGACATATTTACATATTGCAACATCAACAATTTCATTAATAGCATAACATCATTCGATTCTGCATTGATTCTACTAACATAATTTTTTTTTATGATACTAGCGCATTATTAATAAAAATTGAATTAGGAAAATGATTTTTGCGTATAAAGATTTATAATTTTATTCTTTTTAAGTGCAACTTTTTCAATTTTTAAATAAAGAAATGGACCTAAAAAACCGCTATTCAATTGGCCAAGGAAGGCTTGATCAAGTTGAACTATTATCAGATGATGAAGATTCAGATTATTACTCTCAAGAAGATCATGATGAAATGAATAAAATCGAAGGAAGAATTAAAGATATGAGTAAGTTTTTAATATATATCAAATTGTCAAAATTACTGTAAGTTGAAATATTCATTATCATATATTTTATTATTTTAGTTTCCAAATATGAGAGTTGTGGATTTCTAAACACACGTCAAATGACCGATTCTTACGCGAAATTATTTCAAAAAAATCTTAATTGGGATGAATATGCAAAATCATCTTATTTAAGTCTTGGTGAATTTATTCAAGAAACTTGGAATGAAACTTTTAAAGTTAATGTCTGTTCGAAGGATAATGTAACATGGATTGGATTAAAAGTATCAAATATTCCAAGAGATGTTTATGATCCATTTTTGAAAATGAATGTTCCTCCTGTATCACCATATCCAACTAAATATGATGAAGTTTATTTTGATATTCAAGTATGGAACTCTAAATATGACCCTGAGGAAGAACGTGCTAATCAAATGAAATGTCATCAAGCAGAAAAAGTTTTATGGAAAATTAGGCATTTGATAAAGAATGGAACAGTGATTCGGACATGTTGCATTGAGTTGTTATACTTCTCAATGTACAGAGAAACCATTCCTCAAATTGTGGGATATAGTACATTAACAGAGTTATTTAATGAATCGATTATTTTGAAAAGAAAAGATGGACGTAATGTTAAGGATGCGTTTATAACCATTAAAACAGATGACCAAAAATGTGGACATTTGTTAAAGAAAAGCAAAGGAGCGCAAGAAAATGACGGAATTAATGAAATACAAAGAGCAGTTTGCTCACTTTTGATAGGTGAATATTTTGGCGATGTGTTGTATTAATTTTTCAGAAAAGGAAACATTTTGAATTTAAATAGTTTAGTAGAGATATAATAAATTTGCATTTACGGCGATGATGCAACTAATGTATTAATATACAACATATAATTCAATTGCATTTTAAGCTATTCATTCTACAAATATCAATTTGAGAGAGATTGAACAATATCACATTGACAATTAAATCAAAGGAAATGATGAAATAAATCAATGTGAAGGGGAAATGTATTCATTTACAAAAATTCGACAAAATTGTAAAATCTGAAAGTTATGCAAGGACTACAAGTTCGCCATTGTTAAAAAAAGCAAGCATTTGTTAAAACATAAATTAATTAATGTGGTAGGATATTATTTTTGGTATATATATTATATGTAATGGTCAGTAATATAACTATGTAGGATCGATTACTATTCTTTATTAAACTTTCCATAGGAGTTTTATAATGCAATGATTTTAAACCTTCTATTGATGCATATACATGATCTCGAATTCTCAATTCATGGTTTAAAACCTTTTACAGTCGAGTTCGATCCTGTCAAAACCGATAACCTGCTATAATCAGTCAAAATTGATCCGACTAGTATTCAAAAATTCAAAAATTATATAACAGCACAGTTTGTGTAACGTATCCTCTGACGGTATTAAACGTAAAAGATAAATGAATTTCATTTTGTTTTTTGCGATATTTATTTACCGTTATTATTATCATTATTTTAAACATTCTGTATCAGGACAGTTTTTTATTGCACAAAATTGAGATAAAAATCTTTATTATTTTTATTAAATTCAAGTCTCGTGCAGCTAAAAGAGAGATAAATTTTTAAGATTCTTTACAATCTATGGCCTTTTTTAAATTATTAAATTCATTTATCGTTCTGATTCACTTCGATGCTTTGTTTGAATGCATATCAGTAAGAATTTTATTTGAAATTTGTATACCAAAAAAAAATATAGCATTATAGTTTTAATTAGTATATATGATGCGAACGACTATTAATTCGAATCGAAATAGTTAAAATTTATCTGAACTATTGCTTTTGAATTCTCGTTGGTGCTTGATACTCAGATCAATCATCTTTTAATTGGATAGAGAATTCAAGGTTGGCCAAGGTTATTAAAAGGAATTGGAATAAGAAAGATAAACGTGAGGCATTCGAATACTTTCGAAAAACTGCGGACATAAATCATGTGAAAGAACCATTTATAGTTAGTTTTTGTTGTTACCTTGAAAAAAATGAGTAATGTCAATGGTGGTTATTTGTCCGGACACGGTATCGGAGGAGAAAAGGATTATTATTCGAGCAATTCAATATGATGATAATAATAGAATGTTTGTGTTAGTTATTATTATTGAAGAGATTAAAAAAGTCAATTAATCGTTCCAATGGTAGATTAATTTTTTTACTTACTTATAATTTAAAGCAATGACCTATACTAAGTTTTTATTACAATAATTAGACAATTAATTTCTTATAAAATATTAAATCAAACGGTTATTTAGTTAATTTATTGAATCTGAGAGTGATTCTTCGTATTTATCCATAATATAATAATAAATCCACGGCTGCTTAGCGTTTTGTTCAATTTGCGAAATATTCTTATTTGCTATTTTTCTAATGTGCATGCATCAGCGGGCTCGTTCTAATACCGTATACTTCCGAAATTAAGCACCCCTCAGAGCAATTTTTATAGTCAAAATTCTCGTGATCTAATAATCGGATCTGCATAATTTTGGTACCATTCGAATCATTTTGGCAAGCTGATTCGAATGGTACCAAAATTACATAGATCCGATTATTAGATCACGAGAATTTTGACTATAAAAATTGCTCCGAGGGGGTGCTTAATTTCGGAAGTATACGGTACTTCTTTCATTACAAAATAAATTATTACTCGATTACTGATGGTTTGTTTGAATCTACGAGTGCCTTTCCACGGCTGTAAGTGTCTATAAATGCTTAACTATAGGGAACCGTTAAAGCCAGGTTCGATCACATATTTAATTACATTAATTACATTAATTAATTACATTAAAGTTAGGGTTAGGGTTAGATTAGAGTCCGTATGGGGTAGGGTTAGATGAGTTTTATAGGTAAAATCGTCCGCCAGATATTTTTTCTTAATGCACAATGATAGGTTTAGACATTCGTTTCTTGTATTTTTCGCATTTTTACTTTTTTCTTCGTCAGGATGATCCGTGTAAACAAAATTTCATAATTTTGATTGGTCAAAATCTTGTGATCGAACCTGATCCCTTAATATAAGATGTATTTGATTCAATTAATAGATTTATTTAAATCTGATTGACCAAAAGGACAATTCCGCTATAAACCATATGTTATGGTCTTAACATCCTTTAGTTACCTGTTGTTGTACTTACATCAAATAAAAGGAAAGGATTTGGTGGCTAAAATTTCATTTTTTTAATTTATCTTGCGTCCTTTCATTGTGTGGTGTGGAAAACGTTTTAGGCAAAGTAAGTGGAGGTGTAGAGTTCCGAGATTTTTCTGAGCTATTTTTTGTGTTATTGCACTCGTCATCATCAGTGTCATCGTCTAATAAATAGTTCAATTTATCATTATTAAGCAAATTCAAAGTTCTGACAATTGTTGCTTTTGCACGTAAAATTTCCTTGATGACAAAAGCCAATGGCTGTGATTTCGTTAAACGACCAGTAACTTCATAAATTTTGCCACGTTTAACACGGGAAATGTAACCCTTCGGTGTATCCATTTCAATCGTTTGTAATCTGTTCCCCCCATTTAAAATTCCAATAACTTGCAACTGCCTACTTGTATTAGAACTGCACTCAGAAATAAGATTTGTAATCATGTCTTTTAACATCTTATTTAACTTCAAACTGTCTTTCAAATACTTCGTTCCGTTCAGTCCTTCCCAATCACGACCAGATTCTACGGCTCCTAACTCCATGCGATCTGCTGTAATTCTGAAAATTCCGTCTCCCTTCCTTCCTATTTTTTTGCGATCAAAAGCCGTTCTACCATCATTCTTTCTGTCACTTGAGGCGAAGCTCATACTTTCACCCCTTAATAATTCAAATGCTGTATTATGAAATGCTGGATCGATTATTCTACTCCATACGTTACTTTGAAACCAACCTTCTAGCTTTGACTGGTCAGAGGTAAAATTATTCTCTGCTTCCCATAAAAAAAGCATTCCTCGATATGCATAGTTTATATAGTCAAGATCATAATGCAATTCTCTATTAAATTCTTCTTCATTTTGTATAAATGGCTGTAAAAGAGATTTACGCAAATCTTTTACATTATCTAGGGAATATTTTTTAATTAATTCAAGCAATGAAGTTTCAACTTTTGGCTTCTTTTGAACGTTCGTAGAGAAAATCTCTTCCCATTCTTCATCTGAAAATATTGCCTTTGTATCCTTGTCAACGTCATTTACTATAAAAGAATGTAAAGATGACTCTTTATGTAATGTTTTTGCATGCTGATAAATTATATCCTCGACTTTTCGCCCGGTTTTTAGTCTCCACATTTTTTCCGGATTCATTGCTAAATATGATTCATCAAATTCTGTAAAGTCAAGTATATCACATGAGCCTTCATTTGAGCCAACATATACATCAAACGAGCTGTTAAATGTTTTTGCCTAAACCGTATTTAAAAAAGATTTATGATGTGTTACTCCATACCCATATGAAATTACAATACTATCATTTTATAGATCTGTAAATTATACATACCTTTTTATTCGTAGTATTTTCGATATCTTTTTCATTTGAGCAACTTCCAAGATTCACATTCTTTTTATTACTTTGTTTTCTTTGACCTTCTAACAATTGCTCCCCGACATCTTGATTCTCATTTAAGTACATCGTAAATGTCTTTTCTCGACGAGTACTTGAAATCCGATTCTGTTATAAATTGATACACTTAAATAATATTGATTAAAACAATCAAGAGATAGATTTATATAATCTACCTCAAATCTCCTTTCTAATACACAAGACCAATCAGGCATATCTTCGGCTACCTAAAAATAAAAACAAAAACAAAACAAATAAATTATAGTTCATCAAATGGAGTAAAATACGCAATTATGGGGATGAGGACGACACCTAACCACCGCAGTTCAGGGCGAAACCTGACTGAAGCTTCCACCATAATCACTTGGGAGAGGACAACACCTATATCTGTAGTTCAGGGCGAAACCTGACTAAGATTCCCTTAACATCGGTTCAGGGCGAAACCTGACCTTTAATCTGAGTTCAGGGCAAAACCTGACCCAGATTCCCTAGTAACATCGGTTCAGGGCGAAACCTGACCTTTAATCTGAGTTCAGGGCGAAACCTGACCCAGATTCCATTAAATACAAAATAAAATAGAGGAATAGTCACCTTTGATATACCCAAAATAGTCGCTGCACTGGTAAACCGTTTTATCCATGCGCCTTGTAGTGCTGATAGTTGATTTGATTCTGGAGGAGATCTGGCTACGAAATCAATGTGCAAACGAATAAATTCTGAAAATACTGGGGCGATATTATTCTCCAATGTCCACAGAAAATATAGCTTAAGTTCTATAAAATTTATTTGATATTATTGGTAAAAAAGTACAAGAAATATGAGTTTTTATTTCAAAAAAGTTTTCACCTTCAAAGGCATATGGATAGCTACTACTACTATTATCGTTCATGCTTTTTCAATGTCAAAGGGAATCTACGAACGCGTTAAACCTATTTGCTATCTGCTATTATTGTACACTCCCCTGACATAAATCACCGGATTTTTCAATTTCGGTGAAGATCATCCGTATGACCTCATTGTTTTTAAAATTTTTTTTTTATTGAAAATTACTATAATGGCCCAAAAAAAAAATTTTTTTACGGTTTTATTCGAACCTACTAGTGTGTCTATTTTTTTTTTACTATGAAACAAAGGAAAAAGCTTACCTGTAAACAACGCAACCAAATTATTGGTGCTTGGAAAAACGGTGTGAAGCAAATAAGAATCGCAAAGACTCTAAAATTTGCAAAAAGCACTGTCAATGATGTTATTACATACTACAAAAAGACTGGGGAAACTGTATCTTTTTCTCGTCCTGGACGATCTCCTAAAGTAACTGAACGTGGTGTTCGGCACCTAACTCGCATTTTAAAAAAGGACAGAAAGGTCATACTTAATGTTTTGACGAACAAATTCGTTGAAGCAATCTCCATAGAAGTATTTACACGAACTATACAATGGCATCTTCATAATGAAGGGTTTTATGGTTGGGTTGGTTTAAGAAAACCATTTGTAGATGAGGACTCTTGTGTGGCTCGTTTGGATTGGGTAAGGGCAAAAATAGGTTGAGATGAAAGGTGGAAAAATGTTATTTGGAGTGACGAATCTAGGTTTGAGGTGTTTGGAGGGGATGGTCGTAAGTATGC